AACATTACTTTTATCTTGTCACCTGAAAAGATTGATGAACTATGAAAAATACTATTTGGCTATAATCGTAATTTTTGTAGTTACTGGTGACACGATATTCTAGATGACTGTAACTAATCATCATTGTCTTTGATTGTATTCCTTTTTGTTCTATATTATCACCATCATGAAAAAAATTGACCACGCATACACACATAAACTTATAAGGAAAGACTTTCGAAAATTGACCTACCAAAAAGCATTTCATTTGTTACTGTCACATAAATATGTATAGATACACACATACAAATGAATTTATCTTAAAAAGACGAAAAAATCATTTTCAAAGTTTACCGGGTAATGAATGTCATATGACAATAAAAAGAGATAATTCACTTCGTGTTATTTGCTTGTCTCTTCCCATTTTTGTTTAGGACTGCAATTGATCAATCTCTTGTTGGCATATATGCATCTTGTGCAGATTGCTTCGACATAGCCTTTAGTCACAAGCTCTATAATCAAAGATGGGTGGTGGCTAGCAGTGAAGTCCAGGAAGCGTGTTTCGTCTTATTTGGGACTCGTCAGATGAATGTACCTGCATCCCATACTGATTGATTGCAGTCATAAACAACAATGGTAAGATTCAAGCAAACAACACCAAGTGAATTTAAACTTCATCCCATTGCATATGCAGGTGACTCTCAAAACTCAGTAGCTAAGTGGATAACGTGATGGCGTTGAAGCGAACGGTACTGGGTTCGAGTCCCGGAGTGAAATTCAACGCTGGGATGCAGGTGTATTCAGCTGACGAGTCTCAAATAGGTAGACATGCATGTTCTGGATTCTACTGCTAGCCGCCATCCCTCTTGGCTAATAAAGAAAAACAGCTTCAGGTGTTAAATCTTTATCCTTCAGATTCCAGTCATCTTTTACTGACTGATGCTTACGTGTTAGTTTTTGTATTACAAAAATTTTAAACCTAAAGGCAAATATAACTGTTTCCGCATTGTACAACTAACTATATCTAACAACAATCGTTATTAAATATTTATTTTCAGTAAGTTTATATTCATATTTACCAGCTAGCATTGAAAGTAGACCATAATAACTTACTGAATATAGAAACGTGCTCAAATTTACTGTTACTGACTGGTTATAATGTATCATACTCACAAAGAAATTAACAACTTTGAATGGTGATAGTTTATATGGTTTTGTGTGAATTGTTCTGGGCCGGAATCGGTATCTGATGCTTCTTCATCAACATGTTTTAATTTTGATTCACTTTCATTTTATTCGATTCAAATAGGAAGAAATAGGTTGGATCCCCTAAAATATAATGAGCATATTACCTTTGAGATATTCTGGTAGATAACGATAGATTAAAGAATAATATTTCATATTCTGATCGATAGAAAACATTTTTCATATTTCATGCTGAATAGTGGCTTTATTTTTCTTTAATAAGACTGGAAATTAAAATAAAACCCCATTAAGTTTCAATCACCAGATCATTGACCTGTTGCAAACAGACGGATATGTCCCATTTAATTGAAGATATGTTTTAAATAATTTATATATACATACTGATTATTTCAAATTAATTTGCTTTTAATAGCCGAAACGATCTGATGTTTACATTATTACAAAGAATCGGAAATATTTTGCATTTAACTTCTGCAATGAATATCACTAAAGTACCCCAAAAAATGTTTTCGCTGTGAATGTACTGTAGGACGTTCAGCTATTTTGTAAATGAATAATATCCTCACTGCATCTCTAATTATTATTATTTATTGTGTACAACTGGAAGTCAATTTTTAGCCCAACAACATTTTTGATTATATGCTTCTTTACACACGAGTTAGTTAACACGACATGAAGGGAAAAAAATTTGATAATTAGATTCTAATTTCACAGGCTGGTGAGTGATCTACAAACAATACGATCGTATGTATCCAAAGTAATATTTATCCAAGTATATAATTCCATCAGGTACTTTTTTATCCTGTGTTATGTCTCAATATAAAACTACTCATTTTCTAAGCAATTATTTTATCTGTGAACATCTACTTGATGAGGAACTTCTATCAGTAATTTGATTTACCTAAAAAATTTGCAACTTCGTCACATTATTGATTTCAGTTAAGGTAATTTGTAGCAATGTACATAAAAATACAAACGTTTTAACGCATTGTGATATGTTTAATAGATTTTATTGCACTAACTTTCGTTTTATTCATTAAAAAATTCAAGAGATTTGATTGAGGAATAAGTGCATTGTTCATCAAATCATTTAACCAGTCTACATAAAGAACAGGAAATTTGCATCGAAAGACATATTTAATTTTAGTGTGAAAATGAGTTACCATGTTTGAGATATTAGTTCTTTTAATTATCTTTACTTCACAGTGAAAATCAAACACAATATCAGTAGGTCATCCATTAAGCTAATTAGTTCAAATAGCTAAAAATGTTATTTCAGTTATGAGATTAAGTCACATTACTCAAACTTTAACTGATCATTGTAATGTGTCAGTATCATAAGCATAAAAACACCTTGATTTTATATCAAAATCAAACCAAGGTCAAGGTAAAGTTGAATATTCATGTCTTTATCGTACTTATTTATGAGAATATCATATTCATAGAGTTTAACGTGAATTTAGTAGAATATTTAAGATCGAATGCACCTTTATTCCAATGTAAGCACCTTCCATATCATAATAATCCTCAAGGTTTCTGATTGTTACTGAAGAACTAATTATACCAAGGATTGAACTAGTCATATGATCGACAACAAATATGAAGACATATCTCGTCTTCCTTCGTTGCAATCAGTTTATGAGTAACTGTATGTAAAAAATTTCACAGCAAGATATAATCAAATTTTAATTTCTATGCAAAAATTGAAGTCAGTAACTCACATTTTATGCTCATTAGTAACTTGGTTTTTATCGTTTTACTACTAAAGTAGCTAACTTTCAATCATGATAAGGGAGTAGTAAAAATATTTAAAAAAACAGCTGAAGTAAACGCCACTTTTTTTGTTTACTCAAGTTGAAAGATTTTTCATTGTCATTAGAACGACTCATTGAATCGCTAATTTTCCTACAAGTCAGTTAAAATAAGAATTTTTTAAATGCACCTGATGCTTTTGAATTAAATTTGACAAATTAGTGTTTTATTTTCCGTAACTGAAAAACGCCACTTCATATTTTGACTTTGACTTTGCTGTCCCAGTTCAATAGTTACCATGTTGAAAGCTTCTCTTTATTTTATAAATGCATTAACTTTATTGTTACCTATTATTCTCTTTGGAATCACAAGAAAACACATCGTAAATCAAATGCTGCTCCACCTCTATAGGGTTTATATGAATAAATACCGATTAGTATCGAGTGACAAAATTCGAATACTGTGTTTATATAAATGGAAAAGTTGCACTTTTGTGCTGTAAAGCTGTAAAGCAAAATTACAATACAATTTACTGGTTTTAGTTTTCGTTGAAAGTATTGCTCACTTTTATTAAACGAATAATCTTATTTTCTGTTGAATTCATAGAATAGGTTTACTGTAACATGTCTACTGATCAAGTTTTCACCTGATTATCGGGTAATCAGACTGTAAGAAGAGGAATTTCGCATTTCACTTCATGATATCCAAATTTCCTCAGTTATAATTAAGTTCATAACAATCTGAATACATAGAAAAGGGGAAACGAAGAAAGGTGTTATTCTAGATAGAATGATATCTTTATAAACAGTAACTTTCCAGACGGTATCATGATTTTCTTAATACAGTCCAACAAGTTACACGATAGTTTTTTCCTAATATTTTGTTGTTTATCTCATAGTATTCAGGCAGTCGACTTTAAACTTCTAGGATTTTCTGTATGCATACAGAAACTTGATCTTAATTCACTTGCTTAATCTACTTTACAAAGCTGCTGGGATGACTGTTCGTCAGGCAAAACTTAATACGGCCATTCTCCGCGACTTAATTGAGCTAATTTGTATTCAATGCATTTGTGTCTATGCCAATAAACATTGCGAATGGTAATTATCATTGCTTCATTTTTCTGCGTCAACTCAGGCTTCTCATAAAGTGTTTACATTTAATATATTTCGATTTTACTGAATGAAGTGGTATTGTATTACTTCATGTTTTTCTCAGGTTAACAGGATTCTTTCAAATAATTCAATGATTAACTTTCCGATTGGATTAGTAAAGTTTATACATCATACTGATTTGTTGTAAGTTAATGGGAACTAAACTAGGAGCACTTATATTCCCTTTTATGTAAGAAAAAAATGATAGTAACTAACATTAAATTAAATTAGCGGTACGTTACTTATTGTTGAACATATTAGCTGTTTTGTTAGCAATATGTTTTAAGGCAAAATGTTTACTCTACTGAAAGAACGAGCTCTTGAAATACATAAAATAAAGCATATTAAATAAGATTTTTACTCGTTTTGGCTTTTTTTGGGGTATAATTATGCCAATAATTATCTATTCCTCACACTCGGTTAAAGTTTTAATCTCACTTAAACTGAGATCACTGAGCCAAAATAAAAGGACAATTAATTACATACAAATAATATGCATGAATACTACTAACCAATAAAAAGCATCTTAGCTACTTAATTTACTATACGAGTGAAAATTCTTTTTACTCAAATGATTTTTTCATTTATCATTATTTAGTTATTTGTCACTTTTCCCAATACCATTTTAAAGTATGGAGACGTATGTATTGATTTTCCACATCCTTCATTTATAAAGTTTATTTTCTGTTTCATTTAGATACAATTTTATCAAATACTGTGAATTGCCCCAAGTTACTATTTTTCCCATTAGAAAAACTTTTTTCATCTACTTCAGATGTTTAGCATTAACAAGGACGAATTTATTTTTTCTACATTAATTAACTGATGACTACTGTTAGTTGTCGCGTTATTTTATCAGTTGCATAATCATCATCATAAATCATTTACCTTATTTTTTTTATCCTTTAGGGTCATTCATTAGGGGAAGAATTATTTGCAACAGTTGTCGATCGATTTAGACTACTTGAAGCTGATTACTTTGACCTGGAATATGTAAACGATGAAGGACTGAGAGTAAGTGTTTAGTGTTTCCTTTTGACTAGCTATTGCTGTTCATCATATTTTCTATATATATATATATATTGATAAAAAGCTTGAAATATTTTCTGCTCTAATGAAAATTGTGTCTTAAATTCCATTCAATATAGTTATTAGATTAATGAAAACGGACAATACAGAAAAGCTACTGAATTATTTCATTTATTATTTTGTATTCATTCACTTTATTTGTGTTTTAATTAAGAAAAATATTATAACTTACTATTGTGTTAAGTGACCCTATGACATTACGGATAAATTAATTACAAATTCATGTGTGATGTACTGTAACCAACCTCAATATTTTTATTTTTCAGTAAACCAACTCTGTTATTTTTGTAGATCTGTGATAAATCTGTGATATCGATGATTTTAACATGTGATGGAATCTTCAAAAAGCTAAATTTTAGTAGTTGAATTCATGAGTTGATCTAAGCTAGACAAAAGCACCGTTGGATTCAGGCCCAGGGGTCTAGAGGTTAAGCGTTCGCGCGTGAGATAGTAGGTCCTGGATTAGAGTCCTGAATGCAGGATTGTGGTTGCGCACTACTGCGGAGTCTCATAGTCGAATGAAACGCCTGTCCAGGTTTCAGTGGATGTCTACCTCAGATTGAATCATGAATTCATCCACTATAATTACTACAATCTCCACGAATCCCCATTCTGGTAAAAATTCAAATTGTTTTATTATGTCATTCAGCCCTAACTTTTAAAATCGATTAAATATTTTAAATACTGTAAATCCTTAACTATGTTTATTACCAGAAACCTACTTATAGGATGGGAACCGATCAAGTATGCTGACTGATAATCTATCACAGTCACTTATGATTGTTATTGGATATTATTAATATAGTTCCCAAACATACTTACTTACTGATCAATCACCTGTGAATATAACTTTTGGAAAAGTGCTCCATTGGAAGATTACTATTACCTAAGGATAGTTTAATTAATTTTTGCTTCAAGTCTAATCATGCATAAAATGTACTGATACGGATTTATGATGAACAATTAATTTATTAAATTTTGTTTCAGGAATCTTTTGAAATTTTACCATTTTGTGAAATGTTTTCTCGAAATTAAGTAACGTTCATATGGTATTTAGCATAAATGTGTTTAATCTCGAGAAATTTTCAACAAATGATTAACTACTTCATTCTTCAAGAAAAAATGTCATACGTTTTCCAGTAACCCTAAATAAACAATAACAAATATCAATAAAAGGTCGAAAATATGTTGATTACTTGGTTGTAAAAGATATTTCTCACAATACTTTTTCTCAAATAAGAAACAATCTATATTTTAGTTGCCCGAAATCTGACTCCAGTTATATCATTTGTTGGTTGCTATCGAAATATACGTCCCGGCTACCCTTGTGTTTAATCATCAACTTAAGTCGCGTTAGTGAGTAACGGAATTAAATAAGTCTAATACGAGAATGGATTTCAAACACGTATAGTTTTAATACAATCGTTCATCAAGACAGACGAGCAGAGAAACGAAGTGAAGAGGAGGGAGTGGAGCGAAACGAAATAACACGTAGTGGAAAAGGCAAGTGAGCGAACTAGATTTAATCAAGCGTCACTTAATATTTATATTCAGACAATAATAAGTTACAAATACGCAATGAATAGGGTAAGCAATTAACAAATACGATCACAAAAAACAGCCAGGGTTAATAAGCGAATAATTGACATGGTCAAAATGTGACTCGAGAAGAATGAACAAATTGGTCTGTACGGAAGCTAGAATAACTCATGTGGGTTTGACATAGTATAGACAATACAGGTTATTATGCAATAAACTGAACGTTCTGTCAGATTGTATGAAACTGCTTTATATTTCACTTATACTGATATGTATTAAAAAAAACTAAAAGGTATTTAGTTCAATGTTTTACATTTTAAAAGATAAATGATTAGTGTTGTTATTTCATATTTATTTCCTGAACATATTAAGCCAATGTAAATTATATACATATATAAGCGTAGATGGTTTATTGAATAATCATGGATAAAATAAAATATGGCATGTAAGTAATTATTAGAACAGCAAAAATTGTCCGATACCATTCCTTGTGAAATCACATTTATCTTTATACTCTTCAACAGCAATATAATCACGCCCTGTTCAACAAGATGAATGAATTTACCACTTACACATTTAAATTACTTTTCCTTAAGATCTAAAATGTACTGTGATCACCAATTGTGTGGTTTGAACCCTAAGTTTTGATAAATTGCAACTGATACTATTAACATTATTATACGGTTTCGTATCACAACCAAAGGATCCATCAATAACTTAAAATGAACTGTGCTCTTAGAATAACAAACTGTCGTAAAAATTAAATCCATAAACAAAATGTAAATCAAATGACATAAATAGATTTAATTTACAAATTACTTGAAGAGGGTTGATAATATTTCAGAAAACAGACAAATTTATCAGTATCAGGAAGAACAATTTAACTAAGAGTTCTCCACTCAGAGTTACTCCATTTATCTCAGAAAATGATGGCTAGATCAGTTCAATTATTTGTTAATATACAAATTCTAATTCTGATTTACTTAGACTAATGATTTGGTTAGTTCACTGATTTTATCTCAAACACAGTATACGACTTAACAAGCCACTGGTAAAAAAATGTGGCGAAATAAATATGTAAGGTAAATTTATCATTAGACTAGGCAGTTATTAAAAAAGCATATCACGCTAAATCTAAGACTGTGTTTTTTTAGGTCATGTTTATAAAAAGCATTGATACAACATCTTTTTCCTTTTTTCATCAAATATCATGTTCATAATACTTTTGTAAGTAATTTCTCTCGTTATATTATCATCTCTCCAACATTTTTGGATTATGGAAACATACTTTATATTAATCTCTTGTTGCTATATAAAAAATAATATATACTGTTTTTCTCAAATAGTAGAACGAAAGTAAAATAAGCTTATCTTGAAGGAAAAATCTTTAAAAATTCTAGTACTTCTACTTATAATCAAAGATTGTCAATGTAACTCTAATGTAAGCATCCCTTATTGTTGCAACTATTAAATGTTTCAAAAAATTATATCATAATCATTTGTACCGGTTTATTTTATACTTAAGCTGTTTCATAAATTGTATTCAATTGAATAAACGATCTATTATATAACGACTGAAATAGCTACCAAATAGTTAGTTATGATCAAAGTTTTTCATGTAAATGTTGGAAAATTTCTAAAGAATATTACTGACCAATTGATTTCAACATTAAAAATAATTATAAAATTGAAGTCAATATTTTAAAATCAAACACTCAAACAAATCAACTAGATTTCTTTCATCTTAAATTGTAATTATGGATTAAATTTTGCCTACTACACAATTTTGTAATTTAGTTTTATGTGGGTGAGTAATTTGAGGAATAAATATTTTACTTACATCTCTAATGATATAATGACTTGAGATCCATTTTTAATTTATTCATAAACAGTTCTAGAAACTTTGATACTTTCAGTTTATACTGTAGAAAAATTTAATGAAGTTAAAAACAATAAAACTTTGAATCTCTGACAGTTAATGGAAATTAAAGAAACTTTTTTAACTAATATCCTTCACTATTCTTCCATAAAGTTTGGTAATAACAGTTTTTCGAAAATATTCAATTTTCTCAGTGCTATTGTGAAATGTTTAACATATAGTAGATGTTGTTTGATAGATCTCTTTTTTTCTATACTGTCTTTTATTTCAGTACATAGTGTCGATTTTAATGTTAATTTACTTCACTACCTGATATGAAGAATTCTCTTTTTTATGATTCATAAAAGTCTGTTTGTTCGATTTTCTTTAGAATCATGTTAATTAATTCAACATGAACCGGATGGAATACTGTACTTCAATGCAGTGATACCGGTAGTTAACAGTAAAATAAGTAAATGAAAGAAGAGAGCAAGGATACTAGTTTCCTACATAAAACGCTTAAATCATTACTCACTTTCTTACGCTTAATACCTCCGGTGGAGGAGCATAGGCCACCCATCACCATTCGCCAACCACCTCTGTCCTGACTTACCATATCCAGTTGTTTCCAGTTACTACTCATCATTCTTTTTCATGATGCTTCCGATTCTCGATGAAATGTGTTATTTGACCTTCCTCTATTTCGTTCACCTTCACGATTCCAAGTTACCACTTGCCTTGTGATGCAGTTTGATGAATTCTGTAATGTATGTCCCATCCACTTCCAACATCTCTCCATAATTTCCTCTTCACTTCGAAACTATTTTGTTCTCTTCTACAGTTGGCTGTTGTTGATGGCATCCGACCAATGGACATTGAGTATCTCATGTAGACAATTGTTTAGAAATACTTCTACATTTTCAATGATGGTTGTGATAGTTCGCATAGTTTCAGCTGCGTATAGTAGAATTGTCTTGGCGCTCATATTGAAGATTGTGATTTTGATATTGGTTGACTGTTTTGTTTGAGTTGTATATGTTGTTCAAATGTGTGAATTCCGCCCTTACGTTTTCAATCTTTGTCTTTATGTCTGCATCAGATCCTTCTTGTTCATTGATACTGTTTCTGATAAGCTAAGTGAAAGTTTTCCCCTCTTCCGGAGTTCTTCCATCATATGTAATTGGTTTTGTGCTGTCTGCATTGTGTTTGAGTATATTGCGTTTTCCCTTGTGTATGTTGAGACTCACTGATGCAGAAGCTGCTGCTACACTTTTTGACTTGACCTGCATTCGTTGATGTGTTTGAGCTAGGTTATCTGCGAAGTCCAAATCGTCTAGTTGCATCCGATCTGTCCATTTTTTCCTTGCTTTCCGTTGGATGTCAAGGTCTTCATAATTCAATCGTCCACCAGAAGAAGGAGAAAGGGAGAGGGTAAGAAAGTTTCTATGAGTCCTCTCCTCGATTCGAACGAATATGAAAGCTGTCCTCCATGTAGTACTTTGCAGTGAGGTTCGTCGTATCGATTTCG